ATAAAATTATTGCCATTGATCGGGCAGCGGCGCGGACGCATGCTCCGAGGAGCGGATCTCCCTCCCGAGGCTGGGCGCAGGCGCCCATGGGGGCTGCGCGCATCGCGGAGAGGGGGCGAGGGGTCCCCAGGGGATGGGATGGGGACAGAGCAGGAGAGGGCAGAGGGAAGAGGCAGGAGGAACAAAAGGCCCTTCTGCCGGCAGCCCGCCTGGGAGAAGCCAGCTGTGGAGAGGCAGCAGCACAGGCAGGAGAGGATTTCCAGGGGCTGCCGTGGGGTTGATGCTCGGGGAGTCCAAGGGTCACCAGCTGACACCGCCAGGGCCAGGGCAGACTTCACACCCCAAATCTACCCCCCCAAAAAAGCCTGCCAAGGCGCAGGCAGTAAGTAGGGTTGCCAGCAGCGGGGTCACGAGGGGGGCCGAGCCCTCCCGCCTGCCCCGGGAGCCGGATTTCACGCACCCAGACACAAAGGGGCCCTTTTGAGCCCAAGCCGCTTACCCCGAGCACTAAGCAGAGGGCGACGCGAAAGGACCCACGGGGACGGGGACAGGGAGGGCGGGCAGGGAGCCCGACGGCTTCTCCTTCCAGCTCACATGGACCGCGGCTGGGTCGTGACTCATACCCCAGAGGCCAACGCACAGGGGCTCTTGGTATGGAAAAAGAGCCAGCAGGCAACAGGGAAATTCCCAAAAAGCCCCCAGTCAGCAGCTCCCCCTCCCCACAGCACCTATTTTCAGGTCATACTGCCCAGACACACACCAAGGGCTGTGAATGCACTGACACATCCTTCTCCAAAGCTTTAACACAACCCTACACAAAAGGGGGACTTTCACGGGCTGCCAAATCTGCCCCCTCCAACCAACCCTGTGTCTCTGCAACTGGCAGGACAGGGGGCTGCAGAAGAGCCCCTCAACCCTCCCCAGGACAGGAGCACCACGTCCCATTGTGTAGGGATGGGGATGACCCACTTAGCGTGAAGAGTTTATTTATTATTATTACTATTAAAGTGGAGAAGCCAAAGAAGCCAGACATGGGGCCAGTTCAGCTGCGCTTTCTGTGGGAGAGAATAAACAAGCTGCAGCAAGCTCGAGCCCCGGGGGGAGAAGATCCCCGACAGAGACACATCTTGATGTGTTCACACCCGAGGCCAGCCGGCTTCAGGACAGGGCAGGGAGCTGCAAGGATTATGGCGGTGACAGGGTAGCCGGATAATCCTCCAAAAAATGAGAGCTCAGCTGGTTGCAAGGGATGTGTAGTCCAGTGCTATCCTGGCTGGGATGCACTGGATGCACCATCCCACGACCATGCCCGCCTTAGGGATCTCCAGCGCCTGGATCCCAGGTGGTGCTGGGTATCTCCTGCAGGGACAGCTCGCAGCCTCCTTGCTCTGCAGCAGCAGGGGGATGGCAGTGGGCAAGGGAGCCACCAGCTGCTTCAAGGGAAGAGCTCAGCTCACTCCCCCCAAAAATAACCAGGAGGCACCCAAAACTGGGTCAACCCACAAGGGCCACACTGGAGCTCAGAGGAGCCCTAAGGCAGTGCCTTGTTTGCATAACGAGGAGCAGATGGCAAGCTAATGAGGGCAGCCCCTCTGCACTGCACCTCCCAGGATGCCCCACTGCCCCATCTCCAAGCCGCCAGCCCACCACGGTGTGGTTACTGGGAGGGTGTTCCACCATCAGCACACCCCCTCCAGCACCGTCCTTCCCTCTCTCCATACAACATTTCAAACAACTACAACACCTAAAATCAAGTCCTTGGCGCACACAGGTTAAGAGGCAACTCCGGGTGCAGCGTCAAATGCGCCTTTCCAGCACATGACTGAGCACTCCCACTGCAATTACACACACAGCTTTCTGTCCACTCAAAAAACGGGAAAGACAACCCTGGGAAAACGATGACTGCCCAATAAAAAGACCGTTGAGTGAGGACAGGTGGTTTCCAGGAAAGAGCCAAGCGTTTGGAAGCAAGCCTCACTGCCCTCGTGCAAACCCCCCCGGACATCCCCGCTGCAGCGTGCCCATGGCTCACATCCCCATGTCACTTCCCCATCCACAGCACCCTCAGACCACAGGGTGCAAGCCCAGGTCCCCGACACACCAGCTCGCGGGCGCAGAGGAAGCGGCTCACAGCCGGCTCAGCCCCAGCCCCGCGTCACTCCGCCGGGCAGCGGCAGGCTCCTCAAGCGCCCCAGTCCCATGACTGCTGGCACAGAGGACAACAAGCACACAGGGCCAAGGGCTTTCCAAGCCTGGCCTCTCTGCATAACTCAGGGCCAGCCAGAGATAACCTCCTGCCTGGTAACCCTGCAGGGACAAGCTGAGAGCCATGGGCTTCATTCACCGCTGTGACCTGCTCAGCATCCCAGGGGTCCTGTATCTCCATCCCCGCCCAGTGCCTCCCCATCCCAGCCCACAGCCCCTGTCCCCCAGCAAGTTTTGCAAATCTGACATTGCTTGCAATATCCTTCCACATACACCCCCGCCCCGAAATTAGGGTCTCCCTGCAGCTGTGGTGGCAGCAGGTGCTGCCCAGCACCCTGGCCTTGTGGCGGCAACTGTTGGCGGCAGGGCTGGGGAGAGGCTGCAGGCAGCCAGAGGCTTGCGTGGCTTTTTTGGGGGGGACAAAGAGAGGCTCTGTCTGCATGCAACAGCCTGGACAAATGCTGGGCATGGGAGCTGCCATCCAAGGAAAATCCAGACGTGGAAGTGACTCTACCCTGACCTTACCCCAGCCCAGATGGTGAGATCGGTGCCCCCTCAGCAGAGCAGCATACATTACAGGGCCCCTGGGGATGGGGATGGGGAGCACCCAGCTGTCAGCGCAGCCCTCCCTCCCCAAAGGAGATGACAGGGGTGCCGGCAAGGGCAGGGGGGACCAGCAGGAGGGCTGAGAAGCCACCAGGCTGCACCAAGCCTAACACAGGTGCTTGCCAAAAGCATGGTGGGCAACACCAATGGCTTAAAAGCAGAGGGATTGCAACTGCTGCTGAGGGGTGCACCCCTCTTGCACCCCCTGCCTGGGGGGGCTGCCTTGGCCACACTCTGCTGTACCCCTGCCGGGTGTCCCATCCCACAGTTGGGGACACATCGGCACCACTCGGGGACAAGCTAGCAGCCCCCGTCTGGGTTCCCCAGGCAGGGGGGAGCCCTCCCCTCCCTCCAGCCCCGCCGGCAGCCAGGCGGCAGGATCAGGTAGCTGCTGAGGCAGCGCTTTGCCGGCCAGCCAGGCAGGGGCTGGCGCAGAAAGGCTGGGCTGCCCACCCCAAGGTCACAGCAGGGGACAAGGGGGGGGACCTGGCAGCGCAGGGGGGGGAGCCTGCAAAGGGCTCCCACACTGCCATCAAATTGCTCAAGGGTTTTGGGGGGTCCAGGCAGGATAAGCCTACAAAACCTGCCTGGTCTCCCAGTGCTGGGACAGGACCAAGACCCACCTCTTTGTTCCTCACAGAGGCTCCGGCTCTGTGCCCCTGTGCCCTGCAAGACCAGAGAGCCACGCCAGCTCTTTGGGGCACTGAGCTTAGAAACCAGCAAAAAGAAATCTGGGGAAAGCCCTGCAGGAGAGGAGGATGCTCCACCAACAGCTGGGCTCCCAGTCCTGGCTTCAGCCATGACTTTGTAGTGTGCAGCCTGCACCCCAGCCAGGCACCCACCCTAGATCGCCGCTTGCAAGCAGTTCTGAAGGTGCAAAGACCAGAGAAAAACTGAAAAAAAGGAAGGAGAGGGAAAAAACCCAAATCTGCTATGTAAAAAGCAACTGCCAGCCCCTCCAGATAAATAAGGAACTAGAGGTGTAACACTGTCCTCGTGGCTTTGTGAACCCTCCTCCCACACGCTCCTTCCCTCCCATCCCCATTTAAAACTTCCCATCTGGAGCCCAGCGGCAGGGGAAGCCGCCAGCAACGCGACACCAATCCCTCCGGATCCCTCATCGATCCGGAAGGGAGGACGAGCTGCCTCCGTCAGCTCCCCGCAGCCCTGCTCAGCCCTGGCGCCGCCGTGCCTCCCCCCCCGCCGAGGGTTGCAGAAAGCCAAGCAGAGGATGTGGGGCTGGAGAGGCCCACCAGCATCTTTCCCCCCACCCCAGCACGCTGCCCGTGTCCCCCCTGCCCCTAAACACGCCGCTAATAGGCAGGCCTGGGGTCCAGGGGGAACAGGGGCAGGGTGAGCAGGATATATGGGGACTATCGCCTGCAACGGCACCCTGCTCCCAATTTCTGCCAGGGAAGCCACCCTGCCTCCTCCAGGGCACCCTGACCAGCACAGATCGGGAGAAGCAGCAAAAATGCAGGGTGCTGCACCCAGGATGGGGTGCTGGAACACCTTGCATGCCACAGATCAACAGGACAGACCCCTCAGACAAGGGTCCTCCTGCCCCCAGCAGGGATCATACCAGGACCTTCACGCTGCCTGTCCCTGGCTGAGGATGCAGTTAATGCAAGCTGTGTTTATACAGGGCATGTACAGCTGTAATTATAGGCACGATGTTATGATAACAGGAAATCCGTGCCCTGTGGAGATGCAGGCAGAGAAAGGCACGCACGGAGCTATCTGCTAATTGCCACCATCAAGCAGCCTTTTGTGCTGTGGCGGGGTATGGGAAGAGAAGTCTTCCCCATGCCAGGCTGGAGCCATCAGCACCTACCTCTGCCCACCTTGCCCAGGTCAATGGCAAAGCCATACGGACCTGGAGAGACAGAGCCTGCCCCACGGCAGCTACAGGGCAAACCCACCTGCCCCAAGACACAAGGGGATGGGCTTCAATTCACCAGTGGCTAGGACTGAACTTCCCTAGGTTGCAACCCTTCCAAAAGACAGAGGTTTTGTAAATTTGGTTAGCAGAGAGGAGCAAGGTGAAATTGCCCCTCGCAGGCCCGTTGCATGTTACCCCGAATACCTCAAGTCACGCTATGATGGAGGCACAGCCCTACCTGTACCCCAAAGGGCCAGTGAAGCAAGCAGTCATGCCTTCCCATCAGCATCACCGAGGGCTTTCCTACCTTTTTGATCTTCCCGCTCCGTGTGCCTGCAAAGACGACAGTTTGTCCTCTGTAGTCATAGGCAGCCACCGAGGTCATCCCATCCTCCTTATCCACAAAAAGCGGGGTCCCCTCGATGGTGACAGTCCCACCCAGCGGCTGGTTAAAATCCTGGCCACAGAAATTGTCGTCGATCTGCAGTGGCTGTCAGAAGAAAACAGAGAGATGAGCTTTTTGCCAATGCCTCGAGACATGCCAGACCTCCCAGACAGCCATCAGCCATCTCCCACCTCCACCCCATCAGCTACGGCAGCCCCATCCCTTGCCCCTCCTGTCCCAGCCTTCCTACCTCATCAGCCAAAGGGAAAAGATGAGCTGATGCTTCCCCAAAATTCCCTAAGCACTGATGTAAGGCACTTGGGACACATCCAAGGCATGCAGCCCCTCTCTGCATCTGAACAAGCTTTGCAGACCAAGACCAAGGCTCTCAGTCCTCTGTATCTTACAGAGCAGCACTTACGAACCCAGCAGGAGCCGGCTCAGCATCCCTGCTCCCCCTCCATTCCTGACATTGCCATCTCAGACACGTGGGATGCCGGCACAAGCTCCAGAGCGCACACACACCCCTCTCCTCCTCACCCCCATGTTGGCTTCAAAAAGAAACCGGCTCGGCAGTAAGGCAGGAGGGGCTGGATCCTGCGCCCGAGCCTTCCCCCAGACACAAAACACTTCCCAGCCACGGTTGTGCCAAGACAAATGGGTCAGGGCTCCTCAAAGAGCCTCACAGCACATAGCAGAGCCTCCAGCAAACAAGCTACCCACCTGCCAGCCCTGTTCCTCCTCCCGCAGGAACGTCTTTGGGAAATCCCCCAATTTTTTTCGTGCTGTCTTGCCCCAGACAAGGCGCCTGGCTCAGCCAGCTACCTCCTCG